TTGAAATCACATTTTAGCTCAGTTAAGTCTTGAACTTCTGGCCCTCCTGTCTCAGTTTCCCAAGTAGGCTGGATTACAGGCCTGAGCCACCAGACTTGGTTTATTATTATTATTTATAAGCATATACTAATTGCATAAGATAATGGACTTAATTCTGACATTCCAGTACATCTATGTAATGCATTTTTCTTCTTTTGTCTTTGATGAAGGTGCTGTTATAGCAAAACACAGGGGCACAGACTAAAAGAAAGTGAAACCCATGCTTGCCCAATAAAGCTACAAGCCTGGAGATTTCCCATATTTAAAATTCTTCTAAATCCCCCTCTACCAAAAAGAGGGAAGAGGGGATGTTTGTGCACTTGTGATAAAATATAAAAGTGATAAAATACACTGATTCTGTAGGAATTGTTTCTGCTGCGGGTTCAACCCCAAGCTTTGCATTCTTTATAGAAATAGCACTTGGTACTGTAAGGAAAATGAAGAAATAGGAATTATTTTACAGAATATGTTGAAGTTCATTTTACTGGTTGCTGGTATTCCTTTGGAAATGGGAGACCTTTTCAAATAACCAAGCACCCTGCCCCCCACCTCCTTGGTGAGACACATCTGCTGTGGTGAGTCATAGTCACTGATGGGAGTAGGTGACATCTCTTAGGTGAATTGAGGTGAAAAAAAAGTTCAGCTATCTTCTCTTTCTGAACAGGATTGCCAAGCCTATTTACTTTCTAAGGTAAAAATGAATCATTGGAAATGTCACTTAACTTTAGCCAATATTCAATAACTATATTGGGGTGCTTTAAAAGAAGATTTGCATTCAAACTACTTACACAAGTGAACAGCTTACAAGTTGCAATTGCATTTTAAAAAAAAATAAGCATAATGTTCTTATACAATGTTCTTGTTCACATTTTCACTTCGGTGGCATTTGCTATAAAGAACAAAGCATTTCTAGAATGCTCATTTTAATTTCAAAGGTTAGGGTATTTTGTGGGAAGCATTTGGTGCTTGGAGGATTCAAACAGTAGTGGAAGATTGTGTAGTGGGAAACAACGTGAACTGTGCACTTAAAATATGGTGGGAAGGAACTTTTTAGATGAGATACTCATTCTTCACTTTAAACAAAAGTTTTAAATGAGGTGTTAATCTAGACAAATACCCTTTAACTCTGTAAATAGGAGCAGATATATTTGCCTTTTGGTGTTTGCAAAAGCCCCTGTGATACATCAGGCTCTTTGTCATCTTCCTATGGTACCTTTAGCTGCTGGTAAAGCATTCCAATGTGCTATGAACTGCCCCCATCACACTCAGTTGGGAGGTGGAGGCTCCAGGAGGAAGATAAGATTAGGCCCAAAGAAAGCACCTTTGACAGGGATTGTGGTAACTAATTTTTGTATCTTCATTGTGCACAGACTAGAAAATATGAGATGTGTTTTGTTATGAAATTTAAAAACACTGGACCTTACTTAATCAATTCATAGTCTTACTGGATAATTGGATTTTTCTCTCTCCTCCTCCTCCTTCTCCTCCCTCTCCCCTCCCCATTCCCTTTCTTTTCTTACTTCCTGAGACAAGATCATCAAGATGTCTCAGGAAACCATAATATACAAACAAAAGGTAAGAAAAATGCCCAGACTAAGCAATATTGAACAAAAAATTAAAAATATACCATTGAGTTCATTTTTGCATGGTTAATATACCCAATGAGACTCTATTGGAGAGAATCTTTTCCTTTCCAAGTACAGATAGTTTCTTGATTGGGGGTGGGAGCTCATGTCCACTTCCTGCTCTCAGCAGTCGGACCTCCATATAGCTTTAACCTGAGCAGGCCCTATGTGTGCTGCCACAGACTCTGTGAATTCATATGTGCTCAGTCTTGTTGTGTTTGGAAGATATGGTTCCCTTGGAGTCATTCATCACCTCTGGTTCTTAATCAATCTTTCTGCCTCCTCTTCCACATAGCTCTCTGAGTCCTGAGAGGACTAGATTTATGAAGACATTCCATTTAGGACTGAGTGTTCCAAAATTTCTCACTTGCTGCACATTGTCTAATTTTGTGTCTCTGTATTAGCTCCAGTTTACTGTAAAAGGAAGCTTCTCTGATGATGGTTGAGCTAGGTACTGATATATGGGAATTGTGGAATGTCATTGAGTCATTTTATTGCTACATTTCTTTAACAGAATAGTATTTTGTTTTCCTGTAAGCCCATGGCCTGGTTAGTCTGGTTCTTGGCCACCAGAGCAGTGTCAGGTATGGGTTCCGTCTTATGGAGTGGGCCTTAAATCCAACCAGATAGAGGTTGGTTACACCTACGTTTATGCGACTATTGCAGGTAGGTCACCACTGTGGATTGAAGCACTTGTAACTAGGTTGATGGTTACTTTTCTCCTCTGGCACCATGCAGAGTACCTTCCATTACCATGGACACTAAGCAGTAGGGGTGAAGACTCTAGTTAGGCACCAGCAGGGCTTCTCCATGTTCAATGAAATATGTAAATGTTGTCTTCAGCAATAGAACCTTTTCATCAGTTTGTGGAGAGCAACCAATATCCTTGGCAGTAACTTGGGATTTTGGGGGTTTCCATGGTATTTTTTTTGGCCATAACTCAACTAGATATTACTCATTTTTGGCACTGGAGGCTACACGTGGTGGCAAAAGATGTCTACTTAGGGTTTGTCTCCCTTATTATTTGGTGATTTCATTTAGGTTTATTTCATTTATGTATATATTTTAAGAAGCTTCTATAGGAGTAGGTTTTCAGATGATCCTCAAATGGCCCTTAGTGTTACTTATTCCTTCCTGTATTCCCCCTTACTCCTGTCTTCTTTCCCTCTCCTTATTTAATTCTCCAACTCCAGTCTCTCCCTATCTTTCTATAACAATCTATTCTATTTCCCCTCCTCCCCATTCCCTTACTTTATACCTAACCTCTGTGGTTATATGTTTTGTAATACTTATCAAATGTTAAAAGCTAACATCCACATGTAAGTGAAAAATACAATATTTGTCTTTTTGGGTCTGAGTTGCTCAGGGTGTTTTTTTTCTAGTTCTATCCATTTGCCTTCAAACTTCCTTCTTTCCTTTGGTTTTTTTCAAGACAGAATTTCTCTTTGTACCTCTGGCTGTCCTGGAACTCACTGTAGACCAGGCTGACCTCCAACTTAGAGATTCACCTGCCTCTGCCTCCTGAGTGCTGGCATTAAAGGAGAGCACCACCATGGCCTGAATGCAAATTTCATTTCTAAACAGCTGAATAATATTCCATTGTATAGATATACCACATCTCACTATCCATTAATCTGTTAATGGAAATCTAGGTTGTTTCCAATTTCTAGCTATTATGAATAGAGCAGCAATGAACATGGATGAGCCGGTGTCTCTTTTGTGGGATGTAGAGTTCTTTGGGCACTACCCAAAGAACGGGTAGAGCTGGATCTCGAGATAGATCTATTCCCATCTTCCCAAGGAACTGCCAACCCCTTATTTTAAAGCTTTATTTGTTGTTACTCTGCGTGTGTGTGTGTGTGTGTGTGCGTGTGTGTGTGTGTGTGTGTGTGTGTGTGTGTGTGCGCGCGCATAAGTATAATATGTGTGGGCCACCGTGTGCTTGTGGAGGTTAGAGGACAATTATCAAAAGTTAGTGCCCTCTTTCTACTATGACTCCAATGACCATGAGGCATACTTGGCAATTGCTTTTACCCATCTCACTGGCTCTTTTTACTTGTTTCTAATTGGCAAATAAATGTGTGTGTTTATGGGGTACAATGGTGTTTGATACGTGCATACTTTGTGGAAAGGTTCAGTCTAGCTAATTAATATAGCTAGCATCTCACTGCCTTACCACTGGCGTCCCTATTTCAGCAGGAGCCCCAGGCCTCCTAATTCACACACTGAATACAAGTTATTTTTCTGTTTTATAAAAGTTTTATCCCAAAATTTCTCCTGGGATCCAAGGTTTAATTAAGAAATGAAAGCAATGGATATTTTTCATAAAGTAATTGTATGAACTTTTGTTTCTAAATATATTTTCCCCCTTTTAAATGGATAATTTTATGCATGAATGTAATGTGTTTTGATCAAATCTACCCTCCCAATTCCCTCTTCTCCAACTCCTTCCTTATGCTCCTACCACATTTTCCTCCCAAATTTATTTGCTGTCTCTGCCTTTAAAAAATAAAGCAAGCATCAAGTCCACTTAGTGATGCCTACACATGAATGCAGGTAGGACCTTCTGTTGGGAGTATGCATAGCGTCTCAGGGCGGAAGAAAACTGACTCTCTTTCTCCCACCACCTGTCAGTTGCTAACAAGCTTCTCAATTAGGGTTCCTGAGCCCCTCTCCCGTCCATGCTGGGATTTTGTCTAACTTGTTTGTAGTCACAGTTGCTGTAAGTTCATGTGGCCTATCATATCCAGCAAATAATGTTCCACTGTAGACATCCACTCCCTCTGTCTTTTACAATCTTACTGTCTCTTCATCTGTGATGATCCCGGAGCCTATTTAGGGGACAATGACCTTGGACGTCTTATCTTCCCACTGCCATCTCCTGATATCTTTCTACCTCCATTGAGCTGGGATAACAGGTGTGTGCCACACCTGGTATGAGCTGTAGTAGGGCTCAAACTTAGGGTCTCATGCTTGCAGTTAAGTACCCTATTCCCTGAGCCTTGTCACCAGTGTATTTTCCCATGTTCCACTTCTTTATTAAACATATGTGTTTTCTCCACATGAAGTTTCTGATACACCCATAGTCCTCTCAGGCCTTCAGCCAGCAGTAAAACTTGATGAGGTTTAATAACCATGACCTTCCCTTCTAGTCATCAGTTGGGATTCTGGTGCTGCTCTTGAAGGAATGACTTGATTTCTGGGGATGTAGCAACAGTCCCTGGAACGAGTCTTGTTACCACGGACATGATTCTGTTTCTTTTGGGCTGTTATACCTCAAGATTGGGTTCTTCCTGCAAGACATTTAATAAGTGTCTTGTGTTTTTCCAATTTTAGGTTACTACACTTGTAAATTGCCCACAGAATCCTTCCAACAGGAAAAAGGGACGTTCAAAGAGAGCCAAAGTTCTCCTGGCTTCTGTGGAGGAAGCAACTTGGAATCTGTTAGACAAGGGGGAGAAGATGGCCAAGGAAGCGACAGCTTTAAAGGAAGAGCTAACAGCTGCCCTCCAGGAAGTTCGCAAAGAGAGTGAGTACCCGGTCAGCAGCATACTGCATATCCTCAGGGTGTGAGTTATTGCAGTAGGTGTGTGAGGGTTCTGTTATGCAGACTTGAGTTTATTAGTCTTGTACATAGCTGTGAGGTGTGGGCTGTGGGAGGCAGGGTGGCTCATTAGGCAGCTCCAAGGTGGATTCTCAGCTCTGGCTCTTATCTGGTTATTGAGTCTCTGACTACAGCTCCCCACCTCCATCCATACTGCATGCAGCTTCTCCATAACAGAGAGGTTTAATGAAGTGGAAGATGCCTTTGCCCATATATAATGAATCATAAGGTTCATTATAAACGGTCGAGAGATAGCTCCTTTCTGATGGGCTCAGAAATATGTTCTCTACTTTTCAGTGATGTAAGCTTAGGTTTACCAAGCCTTCTTTTTTTTAATTTGGTAAGGCTTTATATAAACTACTCATAATCCATGCTTTGCTTTGCTCATATTATATAATAAAAACATATATTCTGCCTTTTGATATTTTTACTAAGATAACACAGCAATCAACTTTCCTTGCTCAAGACTGCACTTTGTTGCAACTATTTTGGGAGGGAAAACAAAGCCAAATATTCTTTGTTGAAATATTTTTCTCCCCTGAATCCTAGTACAATTTTAAGAAAATGTGAAAGAGCCAGGTACTGTGATCTCAGTACTCAGGAGGCTGCAGTTGAAAGTTGGCAAGTTCTCAGCCAGCCTGAGCTATCTTGTGGACAGCTGTGTGTGTGTGTGTGTGTGTGTGTGTGTGTGTGTGTGTGTGTGTGTGTGAGAGAGAGAGAGAGAGAGAGAGAGAGAGAGAGAGAGAGAGAGAGAGAGAGAGAGAGAATATTTCTTAATCAAAATAAACATACTGGCCATATACAGGATACAGGGGGTTATGCTTCAAGTTGTAATTTTTGGTTTTTGAGGTACACAGCATTGTGTTATGGGGTTCATGTTGCAAAACTGTTTCTACAGTGGCGTGCATGGATGTAGCTCTCCTCTCACACACTTTTCTCTCACCTTTTGCTGACAAAACAGCTTAATGCACTTGCTCAGGAAGGTTTCTTACTGGGATTTACTGCAGCCAGCTCAGACATTAGAGCTTCAATTCCAGTCTCCTCTCTTTCTGACACCTTATGCCCTTTGACCACCGCCCCCACCCCCAATCTCCTCACTGACCTCATATTTTTACCCTGTCCCGGTAATCACTATGTTAGAATTCTCTCATCTTTTTCCTTTAAAAATTGCTTTTTATTAATTGTTATTGCATATGCATGGAGAGAGAGAGAGAGAGAGAGAGAGAGAGAGAGAGAGAGAGAGAGAGAGAGAGAGAGAGAGAGAGAGAGAGAGAGAGAGAGTGTGTTGGCGCTCGGGTGTACTCAAAACATATACACACGCATACACAACATGTGGGAGTTGTTTTGGGCAACTTTTGGGAGTTGTTTCTTGACTTCTGTAGTGGGATCTGGGACTCTAACTCAGGTGCAGGTTTTCAGGGCAACCCATTTTTACCTGATGAACCATCTCACTGGAATTCTGAGTCTGACTTATTTCATTTAGCACAACATTCTCCATTTTTAGATTGTGGCAAATGGCAGGATCTCTTCTTTTAAAACAAAGACTAGTTGAGGTCATGTGTCATATATTTCAGTTTCTGTATCTACCTATCTATCAATAAAAAAGAAATTCTCAGAAAGTCAGGGTTCTAGGACTGTGCAGTAAATGTTCATGGTTTTCTATTATAACATGAAATACATAAATGTATATTTCTCTATATGTATATATATGCATGCCATATGTGGCATACATAACAGATACAGTTGTTGAAGTGCTTTATTCTTAATTCTTTGGATGAATGGAAGGGAACCACTAGCACTTTAGTGTGGGAGGAGAGCTCAGAAGTAGCACATGTTTCTGGAATCCAAGGAATGCCCACTGTATGGAAAGCAGAGAGCCACAGTGAGGACATTGTGCCCCCTACTTGGAAGGAATGTTAGCTGAGAGGTGGGGCTGAAACAACAGAAGAATGGGTTCTGATCTAACTGACTTTGTGCGACCCTGAAGACATACTTTAAATAGTCTCTGCCCTCTCTTATTAAATGCCCCTTGTCTAGTGGTATGTGAAGGTCTAATGAAAAGCAACTAGTAAGTATGAGGTATTTGGAGAAGTGAAAAAAGTATTGGAAGTGGAAGGTGGTTTTATTGATGTAGTTATTGACTTATTTTCAAGAAGACCTTTGAGAGTAGTTCATGGCATTCTAACAGAGACCTAGAATAGTTTTAATCTTATGATGAGATTCTGTCCTCTGTTTTACTGCCTTTAATGACTTTACTTATGAGTCCAAAGTGATAAAACATTTGTGTTCCCTAGAGAATGTGCCTGCGGAAGGTGGAACGTGGATAGCACTAGGGTTAGATGATAGAAGGAAAGGTGACACATGGACGAAGGCAGAGATCCAGCAAAAGGACCCATGTTGTAGGGACTGCTCACGGTCGCTCTTAATCTTGCAGTTCGCCATGTACTAGCACACCTAGATACAAGCAAGGAATTAAATCTGAAATTTTATTCACATAGCTTCAGATTATTTACAAAGTCACATAGATAGTAGCTAAGAGCTATTTAAGTGTATAGATTACATGTTTTGCCTATAGCATGTGTACTCCCTTTGGATAGCCACTATTTCCCTGAAATCTGCAGATCTTACTTCTAAGTCACACACATAAATGTTACTTAGTGGTTTGTTGAAGAATAACATGTTTATAAAGGCACATACTCTCTTGTGACCTACTTAATAATTTTCTCAAACTGCACTCACATTCATGTAACCCCCATGTAGATCAAGTACTAAAACATTACTAAGGGCTGGGGGTGTGGTGGCACATGCCCTTAATACCAACATTCAGGGGTCAGAGGCACATGAGTTTGAGGCTAGCCTGGTCTACATTTTAAGTTCTGGGCCAATTAAGCTTGCATAGTGCCCTGTCTCAAAACAAACAAAAATGAACGAATGAACGTGCATTCAATGGTCAAGAGCACTGGATGCTCTTAACGGAGGACTCAGGTTCACATCCTTGTACCAACACTACAGTTCACAACCACCTGTTACTACAATTCTGAGGGGATTTGTGCCATCTTCTGTCCTCTGTTGGTTCTTCATTCATGTGATACACACACACACACACACACACACACACACACACGAACACACACGAACACGAACATCTGAGAACAAAACAAAAACAACAAAGGAGCATTATTTAAACACCAGAAGCAGCCAGCCCCTGTGCCCCAGTCAGTTACTAAAGTCTCACCTCAGAGGCAACCATTATCCCAAGTTCTACCACTATAGGTGCTTTAGCCTTTTTTTTTTTAAGTCTGATGTAAGTGAGATTATATAGCATGCTAAGTTTTATGTTTGGCTTCTTTTGCTTAATACATCTCTTAATATAGCTTTGAGATCTCATTAATTTTGGTTCATAAATATACAGGAATGAATCATGAACATATGATCATATGATTAGCTTTAGCAGATTGTCCTTCCTTCCTTCCTTCCTTCCTTCCTTCCTTCCTTCCTTCCTTCCTTCCTTCCTTCCTTCCTTCCTTCCCTTCTTTTTTCAAGACAGGACTTCTCTGTGTAACAGCCCTGGCTTCCTGGTGATATTGCTAATTTTTGAAATGGCTTTCCTATTGACATTTCTCATGAACACTATACAGGAGGCCCATTCACCTTGCATTTCAACTGCCAGTGTTTTTAATGAAATGTTCGCAAGTGTATTCCAGTATCATTTTAATTTACATTTCTCCAACAACTTTTTATATGTTCTGGTATGAGTCTTTTGCTCATTGTCAAGAACTAAAATGTCTCCTTCCTTCCATTATAGTAAACATTTTTTGATATTTTTATATTCTTAATTTTAATGAGTCAAACTTTTTGGTTTGTCTCTTTATGTGTATCATTTTTTGTGTCTGTCAAAAATTGTTTAAGATTGCTATAAACTAGAGAAGATACTCTCTAAAGTTATCATTTAGAGCACATGTACAACAATGGCCTAAGGGTCCTTGGGCTTTTTAACTGTAATGTCTGACTCCTCTGGGTTCTGTTTCTACTGACTGATTTTGCTTTATGTCATAGCAATACCTTCTTTTTAATATGTGTGAATAGTGGTTTTGATTGTATACTGTGTTGTATATACTGTGGTAGTATACTGTGTCAACTGTAGAGATTCTGTATTCTCTTATCTTCCCCTGGAGACTGTTAAATTTTGCTTCAGCAAATGGTTGGTAGCTAAGCAGTCACCAAAGGTTTTATTCAATCTTTTACAAATGTTAAGTCTGTTAAATTTTCCCTTCAGTCTTACAGAGGACTCTCAGTCTTTGGGATATAGTCTTTAGTTTCATAGTACTGGCTTTGGGCATTTCAAAGGATTATTTAATGTGTTCCCCAAACCTATTTAGCACAGAGTCTTCTGTTCTCCAAAAGAGTACAATTAATGAATAGAACAGCCTTTTAGAAAGTTCATTTATTTATTTATATTTATATTTTGTATTTACTGGGTCTTTGGCATTGCCCCAGGTCATGCTGTGGATTTTTTAAAGGAAAATTCATGTGTAGCTCCAAAGTTCTATTTGTAGTTTCCTCTTCCATGAAACTTTTTTTTTAACCTTCAATTTTTACCTTCAGAAGAAATGCCACATGATGTTATCTCAGTGTGAATCAGATTTTCTCTGATTCATTTTTTTCTGATTTATTCTTGCTTTTAATTACCATGTGACTGATACATTTTGTCTGTTATCTGTGAAAGCAACAGTTTAACTTGTTTTGCTCCGTCACTTTCAGCACTAGAAGCAACCACCTCCATTCTGATGTTTTTATTCTGTGTATATAATTTTAAGTTGGAAATGAGTTCTTTTGAGCAAGTTGAAGAAACTGTTTCTTTATCCTCTGAACTCCGTGGTATCTGTTGAGAAGCTAGTCATCCATCTTGTTGCTGCCTCTGTGAA